ATCGGGGACAGTCGTTTCCGGTTCTCAATGCATTTAATGGGCAATCAATTACTCGGCTAACAGAGTTAAAGACTAATTCATCTAGAAATTCATTCCCAATATCTCACGAAAAAAGAGAATAAACATAAACGAACAATCATCAAGTCAATTAGCACCTAGACAATACGTTTCCGAATAAGCCTACTCTAAACGAGCCGAGGTCGATCGATTTCTCCCTTTTCAGTTCTAAAACCGATTAAATGAATTAGGATGGTGATCAATCATCTAACCCTAGGTTTAGCATGACTCGAATAGATTGAGCAATCAACATTCACATAAATGAAATTGAACCGGAACAATTATCCCCTAACCCTAGTTATCGAATTTAGCCACTCATCATAAACTCAACAATCATATTCTCATCAAAGAAAGCCATAATTCATCAATGAAAATAAAAAGAGAACTTACAATTAATATGAAATTCAATGTCGAGAGAACAACGAGAAATCCAAATCCGAGAGATAAAATGGAGTTTATCACACTCCAAGAACAAATCTAAGCAAACTAAAAGTGAAAATGTGTTTTTGCTCTCCAAAAAGCTCAAAAAAGAAGTCTGAATACGTCAAAAATTGCCCTAGGCTCCATCATTAACATCCCCAATTCGAATTCACGAGAAAATCCCGGCAGTTGAAAGATAGACCTTAGCGGCGCTAAGGTCTTAGTGCCGCTAAGCCATGTTAGCTGCCCGGCTCAGTCCGCGGTAAAATCCAAAGTGCCTCTAACACAGGGGGCTTAGCGGCGCTAAGGTCCCGTTGGTAAAAAAATGTGGCCTTTTTTCTGCAGTTCGCGTGCTCGGCTACGTCGCTCGGGTACTGCCCGAGCTGAAAACTTCATCTCGCATGCTAGAGTCTCGCAAAATACTACTCGAACAACACACTTCTCATACCGTCTGAATGCTCATCAATCCGATAAACCTAAAACCTGAAATCGCACCACCGGAAAAACACGAAAAACAAAGAAAATAGGAAAGAAAACACAGAAAATACTAAACACACTAAAAATAAAGATAAAACGCAAGAAACGACAAAAGGGACCGGAAATACCTAGGAAAAGACCTAAAACGGGGGAAACGACATACAAAATATCAAAGAAAAAAGCAACAAGAACGGGACAAACAATGACATCACTTATAGGCAACGTATTCTCTTCAATAATGAAAGTATGTGATTTATTCTTTATTTATATTTTATTGTTTAATTTATTATTTTTCATCTTCTTTTTTATTACTATAGTCGACTTTTATAAAATTTTTGTCTTTAATTCCTTTTCTTTCTTAGGTCTACAGCTCAGTGATGCAGACAGAAAGAATTTAGCTCTCGCTGAAATCGAACATTTGTTGAGACGTCGCGGCACGAGTCTTCGGGAATATCCAACCTTGCCTTTTCCTGATATGACAAGTTTTACTACAAATACAAATCGTTTGATTTTGGATGAGCTAAGTTATGACCGCAAGGCATTATCAGTAGAGCATAGTACTCTTCTTAGAAATATGACTGACGAACAGAAAGGAGTTTATTCAAAAATTATGGAAGCGGTACACTCAGGTCAGGGCGGTGTTTTCTTTGTCTACGGTTATGGCGGAACATGTAAGACATATTTGTGGAGGACATTAGCTGTGGGATTACGATCAAAGGGTGAGATCGTGCTTTGTGTTGCATCGAGTGGAATAGCTTCTCTTCTGTTGCCTGGTGGAAGAACTGCACACTCTCGCTTTGGCATACCTATTAATCTTCACGAAAATTCGTCGTGTGATATCAACCAGGCTAACTCTCTTGCAGAACTAATTATACGGTCCTCCCTCATTATATGGGACGAAGCTCCGATGATGCATAAGCATTGCTTCGAAACTGTTCAAACATCGTTTCGGGCCATCATGGGTTCGGTTAACCGGACCAACCATTATAAACTGTTTGGTGGAAAGACTGTCATTTCCGGTGGAGATTTTTGACAAATTCTCCCGGTGATTCCATAGGGGAATCGTCAACAGATTGTTAATGCTTTGATAAATGCTTCAACCATTTGGCAAGATTGTATTGTGCTTAGGCTAACGAATAACATGCGTCTTCAGAGCCTTGATGATTCGGATGAACGTGATGGGCTTTCTAATTTTGCTGATTGGATTGCTAGCATCGGAGATGGTACTATTGGAGGTTATAACGATTGTTGTGCCTCCATTGGAATACCAAATGATATGTTAATAGCTCCGTCTGATGATCCCATTGCTGCAATTGTTGAGAGCATGTATCCAATGTTCAAGAATGCAACTGATGATCCAGGTTATCTGAAGAACAGAGCCATACTTTCACCTACTTTGGAGATCGTTGAGTCTATTAACCAATACATGTCGTCGTTGGATCTAATAGAAGGTCGTGTATATTTGAGCTCCGACAGTACGTGTACATCCGATTTGAATTCTGACTTCTTGTCAGAAATCCCCACTCCTGAGTTCTTAAATTCTCTCAAATGTTCTGGTACACCAAACCATGAGTTGAATTTGAAGGTGGGAACTCCGGTTATACTGTTGCAGAATATGGATCATTCTATGGGATTGTGCAACGGGACACCTTTGGTTGTAACCAGACTCTCCAAGCATGTCTTAGAATGTATGATACTTACGGGCGACCATGCAGGGGAAAAAGTGTTGGTACCTCAAATGACGATAACTCTTTCGGATGCACGAATACCTTTTAAGTTTCAACGAAGATAGTTCTCAATCGTGGTCTCTTATGCAATGATTATTAACAAGAGCAAGAGTCAATCGTTATCCCACGTTAGTTTATTCTTGAAAAAACAATTTTCTATCATGGTCAGTTATATGTTGTTGTTTCGCGCGTCACCAACAGAAAGAGTTTGAAAATTCTAATATATGGTAAAGATGAGTTGCCTCTGAATCAAACAAATAATGTTGTGTACAGAGAAGTTTTTAATAATATATGATTTTTTTTATTTTAATTATGTTTGCATAATTAGATTTTAAATTTAATTAATTACATTTAAATAGGTATTTCAATATGTTTTAAGTTATGCGCCCACCGTGCATCGCACGGTGTACCATACTAGTTTGATTTGAGTATGTTGATTAAAAAAAAAAAAAAACTTTTATTCACAAGTCTTCAAAACCCTTCCTTGCCCATTTCTCTCTCTACGCCACGCCGTCTCGCCTCATCGAGATCCACCTCTCCTCCAGCGATTCCGCACCCTAAACTCTACGTCTCGACGCCGTAACTGCGTCGATATACCTTTTTATTCGCTTAAGAAAGTTAGAAGTTCAGAGATAAAGGAATCTACTACGTGTTTCCCTCGAGCTCCCTACAGAGAATACGAATTTCTTAGAGGTATGATCTGATTCATCGGTCTTTTTTACTTATGAATACATAGGAAGCGCTTTGTGCCTTTGTGTGTCGCGGAATTTTTTAAATGTTCAGTAAGATCTTTGATGTTGGGGTTGTTAGAGGTTGAGTGTAAATAACTAAAGTTTGTAAGTAGTTTATGTGATCTATTTTTTTGGAGGCATTTTGAAGAGATTGTTGACCGGTGATGGCGACAACGGAGGCGGCAGCTCAGCAACCAGTTTCTGCGCAAGTCGTGAGTGTCTCTTTAGTTTTTCGACATTTTACAGTGAAAGGTATTTTTTATTTTAAGCTAATTGACCTTGATTTTGAGCGGACATAGGTTGGGAATGCATTTGTGCAGCAGTACTATCACATTCTGCATCACTCCCCTCGTCTTGTGCACCGGTTTTATCAGGACATAAGCAAGCTTGGGCGTCCAGAGGAGGATGGCACAGTGAGTATCACCACCACTATGCAAGTAAGTTTTAGTTGTCCCTCTAACTTGCGTTTTAATATTGGTTTGGTGATGTTTTTACCCCAATTCTTTTTTGTAATCAGAAAATTACATATTTATTCCAATAATATTTACTAGATTGGTAAAAGTCTTCATTTTTAGTTGTTAAGACTAATTCAATTTGCGACATTTATTGTAGTCTAAGAGCTTGGTTTCTTAACTTGCTACAAGGGATGAGAAAAGCAGAGGAGAAGTTAACAGATAATCTTTAATTTATACGCGTACCTTGTGTAGAGTGTATAGTTAACATATATATTTTGCTCATTTTAATTTGGGGTTTATGGTTAAAATGCTCGGCAACTAAATTGACTGCATTCCTGTGACTATTGCTAATTGAAACTGATGCTGATTTGTTGTTTCTTTTTTCTTTTTTCTTTTTTTTTTGTGGTTGTATGTGATTGAGTGAGGGTCTGAATGCAAATGTAGATATTAAAATGCTTTCTTTGCCTGCGTATAACTATAACCAAACAGGCCATAAATGAGAAGATTGTTTCCCTCAACTATGATGATTTCAGAGCTGAAATCAAGTCAGTGGATGCGCAAGAGTCATATAATGGTGGAGTGCATGTTTTTGTGATTGGCAGTCTGACGGGGAAGGACAATGCAGTCCGTCAGTTTGCTCAAGCTTTCTTCCTTGCCCCACAGGATAGGGGATACTTTGTACTAAATGACATGTTCCGTTATGTGGATAGTCTCCGCGTGAATCTGGCCTTGGTCTCTGATGTTGTGCCGCCAGTTACGGATGAGCAAGGTAATCAACATATTTCACTACGAGAATTTCATATCAGAACCCAAGTTTTAGTCTTTTCCCGATTGAGGTTCCAATATATTAGATTTCTCAGTCAAGGATCAAAATATTCTTCTTCTTTGCTGATCCGGGCTCCAGTTTTATGTTAATAGTCCGTCGGGGACTTGGAATTAGTCTTTATTTTAATTAAAATTTTAAAACAAGGCAGATAACAAGCTCCTTGTCAGGAAACAAAAGTATATTGGTCCATGCTTTTAGAAAAGCTGAAATTTGAAAAATAAAGCCCCTTTCTTTTATGAACAAGGGCCTCAGGTAAAAATTCTTCTTTTCCTTCTACTGTTGTATCCACGTGCTTGTATGTTCGATGGAGGATAAATTTATTTTTTCATTTGATGCTTAGCAGTTGCTGATACTGTTGATGAGAGTCATGTTTCCGAGCAAAGCACACCTTCTACAGAGGAAGCTATCACGGGAGAAGTTTACAACCCCCCTGATGCTCTGGTTGAACAAGAAGTTGTTGACGAAGAAGTCCCGGTAGCTGAGGTTGTGGACGAAGTGCAAGATGATGTACATGTTGTGGAATCCAGTGCCAAAATTGATGAGTTACCAAAGAAATCTTACGCCTCTATCGTAAGTGGCTATAAGCACTGTGTAAATTACAACTTTAAATTTTAATGAGTACTTAGTCCAGTTGTTTGAATCTACCTCTATACTATCTTGAGTTTCGTACATAAAGTTGGATACTTACAAAAAGGTTACCTTTGAGTTGACATAGCAACTGGTTTGAATTGGATTGAAGAACTGTTGGTTTGGAATTAGGGTTAATAGAACCATCCTGTGACCAGTTAATTATGGGCCGGTTCTGGTTCATAAATATTTTGTTTTTCGAGCCAGCGGTATACAGTTCCGATGAGGAATCAGATGAACCCCCGGTGTCCTGCCTGAACCAGAAATTTGAAAATTTAAATTTTTTATTAAAATATCAATTTTGAAACGGTGGTTAATGGTTCTAAACCGGTACTGGATGAGAACTGCTTGTTTTCTGCCCGAACTGGACATTTAAATTCAAAATTTAAACGGTCAATATCATCTTGAACCGGAAGTTTAAAGGTGACCAGTTCCGGATTTAAATATTGTATTTTTATAGCAAACAAATACATTATAAAAAAATTTAAAAGACAAGTGCCTTGTTATCAAATTTCTTCCATGGTGGTATGGTATGACTGAGAATGTGCCAAACTGTGGTTATAAATTTGTGGAGGATGGCGGTTATGGCGTTGCCACAGCTGCCATGGCGCGTGGCGGCTGCTATGGCTGGGTTTCTGCTTGCAGCCATTTTCCGCCATCTGCCATTGATAACATTGAGTAACCGGTTTCGAAAAGGAACCAGATTGATTGCTGGTCTCAAACTAGGACAGAAACTGCTGGTTCATGTACTATACTCGTCTTTAGGGTGTGCCGGTTTCGGTTGACTCTCAGTTCCAAACTCTGTCCCTGGGGTATGGGGTATGAGAAAAATAGTACTTCTAAAATCACAGAAAGTCTCTTGAGGTTTGATGTTATCTTATATTTCTGTTGCAGCTCTTTAATATTAAGGCAGATAGAAAGCTCTAGTCGTTCTATATAATGCTGAAATTTTTGTCGTCTTTGTTTTCTTCTTTATTTACTTCAAACCCTGGCTTGGTTCCCAGTTAGACTGAACTACTGTTGGCTCCTAGTTCTACTCAATTACTGTCTTATTTTTTTCATACATGTCAGCGTGGAAGAGGATTCCTTTCTTGTTATCCTAGTCTTCATCCATCACGTAACCTATTGTTCAGGTGAAGCATCTGAAGGAAAGTGGTGCAATTATCTCACCCCCTCTTCCTGCTCCTAGAAAGGCTCCACCAAAGCACGTCGAGCAAGCAAACCGTACACTTGTCCCAGCAACTGATGGAGCAGTACCCAGTTACGAAGTTGTTGATAATGGCAATTATCAAGATGGTGAAGGCATGAAATGCCGATCTTTCCCTTTCATATATGACAACTTGCTTTGAACATTCTGGTTGGATTTATTTTCTAAGTGACATGATGCTCTAATTTATGCAGCTGATGGTCACTCAATTTACATAAAGGGTCTGCCAATGAATGCTACCGTCTCCATGCTGGAGGAGGTATTTAAGAAGTTTGGGGCTATCAAGAATGAGGGAATTCAAGTCAGAAGCAACAAAGTATGTTCATATTGGGTGTTGATTGTGCATTTTATATGATACAAGTGTTAGAATTTTAATTTAACTGGCTATATATATATATATATATTTTGGTGCAGCAACAAGGTTTTTGTTTCGGCTTTGTGGAATTTGAGGAGGCAAGCTCTGTGCAAAAGGCTCTGGATGTATGTAGCTCTATTTGTTCTTTGAATGCGTGAGATTATTGAAGTATAGAGTTTTTATGTCGGTGTTTAATTTGAATGAAGTTGCTAGGAGAGCCAGAGGCTGATTATCTGAAAATGGAATTTTTAATGTTGCTTATATCTCCGGTCATTAATTTACTTGTACTATTAAAAAACAATAAGAACGTGTTGTTGTCCAGAGTGATTTATCATCGTTGATGTCTCAGGCTTCTCCTGTTGCAATTGGTGGGCGCCAAGCCTTTGTTGAGGAAAAGAGATCTACTAATTCTCGAGGCAAGTGATTATTTCAGAATTCAGAGGTTTTTGTGAAATGCATCTTTTCTTTCATGTTCCCTGGATGATGTTATTTTCTCCAACAGGAAATATCAGGGGAAGGTTACAACAATCTGGAAGAGGCTCGGGATTTAGAAATGAAGGATTTCAGGGCCGTAGTGGCATTTATGGAGGTGGAAGAGGGACTTACAACAAGGGTGGCTTTCGAAATCAGAGGGGCGAAGAAAACATGAATGGTCGTGTGAGCCGTACAGGTACCGGAGGGGTGGTGGCCAATGGCAGTGCCAAGAACACATCGCCTCGTGTATCAGCTACTGCTTGAGCCTTGACGATGTATTTGTTTGTTTGGGCAAGTGAGTTGTTTCAGCTTATTTAGGCTTTTTATTCTTTCGGACATGGTTTCATTTGGGGATTGTTTAGGTCAGCGTTTTCATTTGCGTTTTAAATAGCTTTATCTGGGTAATTCTATTCTCATTTTTCCGATTTGGTGGGGTATAATAGATTTAGATGAAGTAGGTGTTCTTTTTCGTGTTGTAGTTTAATTTAATTTTCGGGGGCTTGTTCCTGCTGTTGACAACGCGTTAGTTGATGCAGAGATTCTTGAGATACTTCCAACTTTTTTGGTCCTTAAAAAATTATGGTTCATTTCCAAACGTGTTTTATGATTTGGAAAATATTGTATAAATACGATCCAAGTAATTTATTAGCATTATTACGGATTCTACACTAAGTTTAGTTTGGTTGAAATAATGGATTGAGCTTGATATAATCTTTTTTTATTGTTTTAAAGGCTATTCATCTCCTTTGCAATTACTTTTATACCCTTCACTTTACATTATATTTTCAATATTGTCCATAATATTAAAAAAATCAGAGCTCCAAAAATGGAAAATGGCAGATCCCAGCACATACAATTTCTTCAACCTGAAGCAAGATCCCACCACCTTTCAGGCCATCGGAATCGACGGCCACCAAAACAGGCTTGTGTGGGGAGAGCCGCCACCTCACGGTCACTGGCGGATTCCCCCGCCATCCGTAATCCCCCGCCATCTGTCATTTGCCGCCTTCGAGATCGACGGCAGAGGAAATTGGTTGATCTAAAATTAAGGAAAAAGAAGAAAAGAAAGGGAAGGTAAGGGGTTAGGGTGGAGGAAAAGAAAATACCCAATATGAAAAGAAAGCTTAATTGGCCGATGCATATTTATCCCTTGGAAAGAAACCTTAATTGAAAGCTTAACTGAAAAGAATGGCTTAATTTCCACTAGATCAAAGGCTTGGTGCTGTACGAATTTATTTTTTTTTTCTTTTAAAAAAATGAAGTAGAAGAAGATGAAGGAGGCAACGCACTGGAGTTATCTTGCTCCCACACAAATTCAAGAAAGAAATAAGAGAAGTAATTAGGGTTATATTTGTAAGTTTAAATGAAAAATGGAGATGGATTACACATTCCACCTCATAGGTGGGATACCTTATACTGAAAGCTGTTAATAAATGACGGGGCCATACCATTTTAACGGGCTTACACTGCTCGAACCAAACAACTTTGAAGGCATGAAATAATAACAATAGGCTGGATATCAAGCCCTATCCGACCAACCAAACGGGCCCTAAATAATTACGAATGTGAAATATCAATTTACCATAGAAAAAAAAACTTTTAGTTTCCTTATTTTTTATAACTTAAGAGACTTGATAAAAAAAAGTTGTCCATGAAAACTCTCTCTCTCTCTCTCTCTCTCTCTCTCTTTTTATTGAGCTCTCTTTCTTGAGCTGGTAGGAGTGGATGGCGGACTCCAGCCTGTCGTCCAAGAGGTTGACAAAGAGGTTTGGGGAGGGGCCAGGGTTGAGGTAGGTGAACCTGTGCGAATAGATGGAGCTTGCGAATACACCAAGGTGAACGTTTTGGGCATTCTCAACGTACTTGGAATTTGTCTCAGCAAGAACAAATTTTTATTCTAGTGTATCCCAACCCACTTTTAGACTCGTCAAGATCTAAAAAAAACTCATTGAAAGAATAAAAAATTGTTATTGGCTTGTGATATGTGATGTCTGTCATTCT